CAAAATATTTTTGAAAGAACATTAAAGGATGAAGGGCTAGCACATTGGAAAACTGATAAAGTTGATATTGATTATGAATCTGCTAGGAGATATAATTCCATTTTGTTCATCTACTTGCAGATTTTTGAATCAAACTTCTTTTTGCTGGGCGGAACTTTTATTTGCCTGTTTTTTATAGTGCTATGTTGCTGTTAGCACTGGATACTGCTTTACCATTGCTGCTTACTGTACTATGCTGATTCACGTTACTATTGTAATACCAAAAATTATTCTGCATTTAATATTAGTTTATCATTGCTTTCCACTTAACCGGTAGTATTCATTAACAATCGTGTCTTGTAATTCTACGATTTTGTTCTGTTGTTGCACATAGTCTGTTTGAAAGGAAATGGAATGTCGATTTAAAAAGAGTTGTGTTACTTCTGGCGGATTTCAATTATTTCTTTGCAAAGGAAAAGAACNTTTTTTTGCTACTAACGATAAATCAGATTTGCAAATTTTGGATGGCGTTCAAATGAAACGAACACATAATACATAAAAGAATTTGCACAAATAAATAATTAAATAGTTTCACATCAGCGCGATTACGGTTCACAACTAAAACGATTAATAGTAAGTCTTCATCCTCTTTATTCGACTACTCCATTCATCTTCTTCATTGACCATCGAGAGCTTCTTTTCTGAGCGTGTACTCCATTCGTCGGCCATTTTCCTCGATCTTGTTCCACCCCACCCTTTGGCGCATAAGTGTTCATTGCGAGTAATTGCTCGGCGTTTTCTTCATCACTCTCATTCAGTTCGTTCCCTCCAGCACTTCTAAACAACACACTGCACCGTTGTTGTCAGTAACCAGTTAGAACTATACACAATCAGGTAAAAGAAAGATCAAACCGATACTTCCAACTGATACAACTGCTACTTACACTTTTTGGGAACTCCCTTGAAAGTCTTCCTTGGTTTCAAAATTTTGGGAAATTTAAATGGTGTTGCAATGTTTCGATTGTGAGATCCAAAGGGAAAACTGTTCTGAATATGTCTGACAGTGGAAACATACTCAGACTTGATCCGACGTAGTGAATTCTGAAGTCTCATGATCGTTTTTAATGGCAGTTTGCACAGTTGCGCTTTAGCTCCTCGTCGTCAACTGCAACGTTTATCATTTTCCAAACCTAAATTAAGATCTCATAAATAGACATACAACATGATATGTCATGGTCAGTGAACCGTAAGCTAAACCAAACTGAGAATAAATGTCATACTAAAGACGGAACAGCTCATTCCATCTTTGAATAATCGATCACCAAGTACTTCAAGTGATCACTCAATTTGAATTTCAATTGAATTCTGGGAAGGAAACAAATCTCCAGGCAACGAAAGACTACAGAGAATAAAATCCCATAACAAGTAAACATTTGAATTTTCCCGTCTGAGATGTGACGAATCAACGGAAATAAATGAGAGGAAGTGCGTTACAACACTTATGCGCTCACCGTTCTTTCAATCACTCAGACTACTACGATGGATGAAACGAGCAGTACGAAACGGAAACGTTAACTGGTATCGCAGAATGCGTTGAAAGTAACTGGACACCTCCAAATATTGAGAAACGAAAAATGAACCGTCAGGCAACACTGCATTCTAGCGAATGAATGCGCAGCGATAAAATAATTCCAATTCATATGCTCCTTTTTATTCCCGTTTTAGCGTTGAGGTGCTCATTGACATGCATTTGATCACTGTAGATCAATGCGTATTATACATTACTATAGAAATATAGGTTTGATACATTCAAGCCCACCGTCTCCTCAAGTTTGCCCGGAAACATATTGATGTTTGTACATCATTCGATTGAGCAGAATCTCTACTTTCTAGAAATGAAGAACTCACTGGAAAATTCCTCCTGTACGAGGGGATATAGCTATTTATCTGATGCTATAGGGGTTGGCACATTCAAACCTACCGTACTCTCAGCTTTGACCAGTAACATGTCAATTTCTTCACACCGGTCGATCGATCAGAATCTCCGAATTCAGAAAAAAATATATTTTGTTGGGCGATTTCGCTTAGTTGAGGAGGTATAGCTATTTCAATAAAGCTATCTCAACTAGCGCTGAGGTGCTCATTGATATGCATTTGATCACTATAGATCACTACATATTATACATCACTATAGAAATATGGGTTTGATACATTCAAGCCTACCGTCTTCTCAAGTTTGCCCGGAAAGCTATTGATGATTGTGAATCCTCCGATGAGATGAACAAGCTAGGGTGAGCGTCACTATTTGAAAATCAGTAATATGCATAGAAAAAGCTGCCGTATCTGACATCGGCTCAATTTTTTTGTACAGAATACATAATATCGGAAAGACCTCCATTTCTAGTCGGACGTTGTGGGCGAGGTTTCATATCAAAATCTTGGGCAATATTTGGACAGCGCTTCTGCATTTGCATGCTCATCTTTCTTTCCATCAAACAAAAATTAAGTGAGGTAATTCGTGAACATAAACACACAGTGACGATAGACACTGGTATAGCGAATTGCTGATTTGAAAATTGCGACGAAATGAGCGATTGCTCTTACAAATATTGCAGTAAATCGGTTGATTGCTCTTATAATTGTAGTAATTAGAAGGAGGTTGTTTGCATAGATATGAACTGATTATATTTGAGACTGATGAGAATTACGTTGAACATTCATTATTACAAGGTGATACTAGTAGTGGACAGTTTGATGCAACGATTCCATTTGCTGGTTGCTATTTAGCATCTCATAGAAATTCTCACCACTAGTATCATCTTGGTGCTGGCTACTAAAATTCGATGGGGTCTGAATGACGTAAGATGTATTGATGCGTGAACGCTGTCCGGATGGTCTTTTTTAATTTGTAAACATGGATAAGGCTTGCTGTTTGTGATCTGACACTTATAAAACAGTATTAAAATAAATAATAGACTAGCACTGGACATTCCTCGTTAATTCTTCAGATAAATGTGTGTGACCGTTTTTGATTTTTCAACTCTTTGTGTTGGTACTCGATTCATAACGTTTTCGTTGAGTGTGGGCGTGGCTAACCGTCATAATTTGTGGGCGCAGCTAATTACCGTAGTCATTTAACCCCGGAAGTGCTGCGTCCGTTGGCTGCCTTCACTGTGGGCGTGGCTAGTTGCCGTAGTCATTCAAACTTAGGATACTACTCTCATTGATTGCAATAACTGTGTACGTGGCTACTACCGTAGTCATTTAACCTTGGGGGTGCTACTCCCGATTGAAGTACCTGGCTCAAGAATGAGAATAACTGTGTTTGCCAACCGTCAGAAGGTATGCATAAAGCGGTTTTATATCTCTATCGGCTGAACACACTCAAACTGCAACAATGCTCAAGCCTGGGTATAAACTGTGGACCAGGTTCAGGCTCAGTCTTAGTTGAATTTTGTTCGGCTTAAACATGCTCCAGTTGGAGTGTGGAAGTGACGATCATTCAGTTGGTTTCGGATCAAAATGGGAGAATATTGAAATGGCTGATTGAAACCAAGAATGAGTGCAAAGTGGATACTACCGTAATTTGTGGGCGCGGCTAGTTACCGTAGTTAAGCGCGACCAGAGGTACCACTTGCATAACTGAAATGGTTGACTAAATTTCTTATACGTCTTTGTTGTTGCTAACCCTAGTCGCAGAAAGGTGTTCGTTCGTGAAATAGCTCTCCCTTTCGACATCTCAATTCTTGGTTTAGCACATCAAATTCTTCGTATTAATTCAACCGTTATTATCAATATTGTCGTCATTTCAATTGTCCTAACTCAAACTTCTCGTAACTTTCATTTATAAATCCATTCGCCTATCCATCGAACGTTTCGACACTACACACAATATTTTCCACTCAGTACTTCGCTACAACATTCCCGCTACAGAAGTCTCAATCTTTTCGACAGTGCCAGTAAGGCGACTCCACCGATGTGTGTCCTCTCTATCGTGGTGTTTGTACATTTTCCGACATTTAAGTCTGTCATCGACTATCACACTTACCGATTGTATCCAAATTGGGGTATTTATGTTGCATTTGTAAAGTGACCTTGCCCTTTGATTATCTCATCAAATCCGGCGAGTTCCAGATCGGTTTTGATTTGTTCTTTCCATATCAATCACTTTCTACCTCTTGTCTGTTTCCATCCTGGGGACGGCTCGTGCAGAAGCGATAGTTTCGCTATTTTATTATCATGAGGCTTCAAAATATGTTTCATAAAATGCTTTTTAGGAAAGCTACCATTTTGTGTATATGAATGGCACTGTTTCGGTGGTTTTCTGATATTCAGACCATACTTGGTCTTCCTTAGTTCGACATTTTCAATCCCAAAACGTCTAAACGTTGTTGACAAACGATGGATGACGTCACATTACAGAATTTTTTAAATTTATTTTATTACAAATTAAAATAATAATTGAAATGAAATGATTTTTTTAAAATATGTACAATACAATTGCACGTTGAACACCTTGCAAAAATCAAGATATTTCCTAAAATAGTCGCATCAGCTTATATGTATATATATGCAATAACGTAGCTAGGATTTTTTCCAGGGGAGGGGGGAGTGCGCAAAATAGTCTGGTGTAGCGTTCGGAGTTAGGATCAATCTTCTCATGCCGGTGTACCCCAGAAGGCTCCTTTCTCAGAAACCCTCTGCGTCCGCATCCCTTCCGCAGGGCCCCATAAAGTGCATATAAGTAAAATAACAGTAACACACCATCATAACTTGCAATTTACTTATTATTCATAACAAATTTTGCATATGTGCGTTAAAAACAATGATGCTCAAGATTCGGAGCCAAAAATTTTTTTGACTCCCTTAGAAAAAATACCCTAGCAACATTCAGCATCCGGAGATGGGACCTACCCAAAGAATAATTTTTTTCAGGATCCGCATAGACTGGTTGCAGATTCAAAAGAAGAGCATGGCATGCGAATCAACGTGGTACACCATGTACAGTTAGGTAAGCGGCTTCAGGTATTCAAATCTAGTGCTCGCTCTTCGTCAACGCCTCTAATTGTAATGTGGATCAATGTTCCTTCCATCTCCCTTCCATCCTCAATTCCCATCTTTCTTGTCGTTTCCCTCTCCTTTTCCTTTTCTTTCCTACCACCCTTCAGGAGGGAGAGGGTATGCGCTCCCTCCCCTTGGCTAGGCCACTGTCAAATTTCATCATTTCCATTCATCACTTACTGAACATATAGAATGAACTAACAATAACTGCGAGCAAGAGAATGAAGTAAGCTAACAGGCTTATGCTGTTACTACCATTGAGAGTGGGTGACAAAATTTTCAGTAGCTTCCTACGAGTTTCGAGTTAACCAATTGCGACTGGTTATTCCTCCGTTCACTTGACTTCAAATACGCTGATATTATAGTTGAATAAACTATAGCACTGAGTATACGCAGTGTACAGAAAACTGGATGATGAAGTAATAAATTCCAATGGAATTTCACATTGTTTTGGTCTTTCAGTCATACCGCATTAAGAATAATTTTCTGCACAAACAAATGTTAAACAATTCTGATTCTTCGTAAAACACGTCTCAATATACGAATATGCAGAATTGTTCGACGTAGAGAACTTCTGTAATAGAATAACAATAAAACGAAAACAATAAAACACCAAATGAGATATGAAAAGTTCTGGGAGATGATGATATTTATCGATTGTAACAACGGAAAATTGTGATCCACATCAGAGCTAACGTCCATAAATTGTTCGGCATCGTTGAACTGAAAAGAATGCAATCAGAAACTTTCATAAGCTTCCATAAGTGAAAACCATGTAAATACATGACCCAAATGAACTTGTTACATGAGAATCTTTATATTGAGAATGCAGCCAAGACCACAGATATCAAGTTACGAGTATCACAGGAAATGGAAGCAAATCGACAGAGTACCGTAAATCACGCATGCTCATCGTCGTATAAATGGAAGAGAGAATGTTTCACTAAAATTTACCTGAACAGCAGCGAAATCAGATCGTATATTATCATATAAAGCATTGCTTCGATCGTTTCGACGCCTTCCCTCATTAAGATCGCTGAAAACAAATGAACAAATATTATCACAACTTAATGGCGATAAATATTAATTTAGAATTTTCGGATTCTCTTAATGCAGCTTTCACTACGAGCGAGAACGAGAATCATTCCGAATATCGGAATAGATGAGACTACCTGGATTGAAGTGAAATAAGTCAGATATAATATCAAAAAAAAGAAAACCAACGATGGCGATGTGACATTGGTGAGTGGATGTGGGATACTCATTGGGAATCGTTTACATTGAGGAAGAGCACGATATACAGGAGATGAGTCATCGTTGAATGCAGAAATAACCTGAAATCACACGCTTTTGATCTGACGAATTTCTATCAATATCCTACCACGGAAATATATGAAGAAATACAGAGTTAGCTGGGATAGGAGAAACAATCTTCATATAATAAGGTGTCAAAATTCAACCAGTCATAAATCATATTCAGTAACGTCGACAGAACAGACAGACTCAGCCTCACCTTAGAATATTTCGCGAAATTTGACGTGGTTATTCGCTTCGGAGGAGGAATTCCATTAGGTCCTCCTTTCTGGAGTACTAACCCCATGTTTAACTGAAAAGATCATTGGTCTGTAATACGAGCGGAATGAACAACATTGAGTAATTTGACAGCACTTCATTTGACAGTATGAAATGATGAGTTGGTAAGAGAAAACCAAAGAATATTCAACAGAAAAAACACTCAATTCAGGACTGAAGTTCTCGTTAAAACTCCAATAAGTTTTACTTCTCCGACATGTATTTTCAATGGAATATTTGGACAAATTTTGATATAAATGAATTAATCCAATATAATACCTGCTCGAGATAATGCCGAAGCAAATTGCTTAGTTCGTTTTCATTGGCCGATTCAAGAAGATCATCTAAAAGAGGAATGCAACTTCTCGATTCAACATTCATACTCATCTCTAAGCATGTGCTATCACCGAATACTGCTACAAATCCCGACCTGAAAGCATCAATTGTTCCATATCGAGAAACTGAGCACCGAGTTTAAAATCACTTCAAAATCCCATTAGGCGGAAAAAAGAAATGATGCGAGAAAATTCACGTGAGAAAATTGAGAAATTTACAAAGAGCAAATGAGCTGAAAAATTACTTTTTTTCTGAAAAATTTTCACTTCTGTAGAATGTAAAAACGACTGATTCGTACAACTGTTCAGATCTTTCACCCGTTACTGTTTCACTTCCCTGAAATCACGAAGAATGAGCAGTAGCACGAACAGATGCAAGTGCAAATCCGAACGGAAACCGAAAAACAGTTACGGTACTCATTCGAGCATTCGTGTTGGATATGGTCACATACTTGCGAAAAACTATAATTCACAAATTTTGAATTTGTTTCGATGACGCAATATCCACTAAAGTAAACTTACAATATCGGTTAAGTTCGCTCTAGCGATCCACGAACCCTTTGGTGTTCGAATGATAGATGTTCCAGAAGAATATCTGATTGAGGTGTGTCCAATTGAGACGATACCATCAAGAACCTTGAAGCATACAACATTATCCGATTAATGTATCACATATGTTGTTTACTAATTGCAACTGCTAACCTGTGCTCCGAGAGTGATGTTCCAATACGAGAGAAGGTCATTGAGTGCTGGCACGTTCGATCCACCAGTTTCTGGTTGCCACCACTGTCTTTAAATGAGAAAATTTTTGAATAATTCATAAACTTCTTGAAAACAATTGATCCTTCGATAAAGCAGATGGTCGCTTGGAAAACATCAGACTGCTTCCTCAAGAACAAATTCGAGACAAGAATGAATGAATTACTGATCTAAGCAGTACGGTTGTCGGATTAGAAATTTATGCATCTGTCTGTCTATCTCACTTGGTATTTTCATCAAGAAAACGGATTTTGTCGATAACGCTGGCATTGAACCAGTCTGCAAACACCACCAAATTCAGTCCCGAATCAACAACATCCAAATAGAGTTTTTCACGTTCAGCCGGAAAGAACTCGTCTTCTGGATCAACAACAATCAGCATTGCATATTCGCTTAAATCCACACAAGTCAACGGTTCGCCAAGTACCTCAAAAACAAAGATACGCATCAGTATACTGCAATACGGGAAAACAGAAAACTGCCTTCTCATTCCCTAAATACTTCTGAGAATTTCTAAGGAATAAAATTACGCATTTAAGATTTCGACACTGAAATAGATAAAGTGAGTTGAACCAATCAATTGTTAAAACTGCAAACAAATTTAAACTTATGAAGTATTTCCGTTAACTTATTACTGCCTCTATAAAACAATCACCTGTGTTGTGTCCAAAATTACTTCATTATCACTTAATTTTACAGTGTTTTGTGTGTGCCAACTTAAAAGTCGACCTGACGATTACGTACGAAAATCAATAAATTGATTATTATCACCACACCTCAATATGATATCCACTACTTCTGAGATGCTGATAAAGCGCTTTGAAGTTGGTATGTGGATGATCAGCGGTCCAATCAAGTGGGTTTGCACGGTCTCGGAGATTATCTCGAGGTAAGTAACCAGGTGGATATCGCATGTTATGGTACTGATCCCATATTATACGCCGACTAAAAATGAGCTGGTTAGGTTGTGGCATACGTTCATAGAGCACTTGCTTGAGAATCACCCATTGTGAATATGTTCAGTAGTCCAGTTCGAAGAATTTTCAAAAAGTGACAATGCAACTACTCGACCGTATTCAATCAAACGATATGCGAATGTCACTGACCTTCTTGGCGGTGTCGGTATGATCCGCACTCGAAGCATAAACATTGCTGTTGAACGTTGTTTCATGCCATTTGTATCACTCTGAATATTGTATTTCTTATACTCTATATACAGTGAGAATTAATAAATGTTTTGGAAAAAGATGAGATGAAGTTTGATAATGTTTGAACCAAATCAAAGGCGAAACATAAATAATGTTTGAACCAAAACGAACTGAACTGAAAACTTTCAGCAGCTAGTTGGCTGTCAATTATTCAAAAAATTTGATGATCGAACTTTAATCATAATTGCAAAATGCTGCATTCATTTCATTAAATTATAAAGATAGACTTGCAAGAGTTTGACTGAATTCTCAACTAGAGCATCGACTATCTGAAACAAACCGTAACGGTGACAGTGATTCGCCCAGCTGCCGTACCCTCATAAATTTTTCCGTCTCGGATCACGCTCAACGAAATCGCCATGTAACCTGACCAAGGCCATAATAATTCTGGATAACTTATTGAAACTTTCAGCACGTCACCGTTCTCATCGATGAACGGTTCCCATATTGGCTGTAATAATGGTCGTCATTGGATATGTTATCATAATTTTACAAAGAATTGTTTTAATGAAATTTTCAAAATTGATAATTCTCCATTGTCGACGAGTTCAAGTGAGACAATGGTCACAAATCACTTTTCAAATGTTACACTCCAAAATGAAATCAACACTGCAAAATGAATTCAAAAACAGAAAACATTAATGTCATGCAAACCAACAGGCTCAAGAATACGACCAGAAACACCAAGACCATTGACAATCGTTACCTAAATATGATACTCGATATTTCAAATGAAACGCTGATTGGTAGTGATTGACATCCATCAAGAAACGTAAATATCAAACAAATCAATTTACATTTATAATGGTAGGTATTGGAGAAAAATACAACGGTTGACTACAATACGGCCACATATACGGACACTCCGTGAAGTCAATGTACGCTGGAATCAATCTGCAATTTGATTAAAACAACAAATAAAACAAAATAAAGCGGAACAAAGCAAAATGAAACGAAGTCTTAAAATAAATCTAACGTTATTGAAGGTTGATACTTTCGCATATAATCGAACGATGCAAGTAAATCGACTTTACCAGCGCCCTGTTCGAACATCGTTGCTGCGTTCGGTAATCGAACCGCACCCTCAACTAACGCTTGTTTCACCACTGCCGGATTCCACAATCGACGGTCTTCTATTCCGCTGCAATATTAATATTCAATTATACGTAGACTAATGGTAAATCCATTGAATACTTCATTGATTAAAACGACCATTTCAAGATGCCAAATATCAAGATCATGACTGAGAGTACCTAAGTATAACTGTTACCGCACCAGCAACAACCGGAGAAGCCACTGAAGTACCAGATAATGCTCTACAACCACCATCCAAAGAGGAACCATAAACTGACGCTCCAAATGTTACTATGTCTGGTTTTACACGGCCATAACCACCTTTAATTCTGTTACTTTCGTAGAACATATTGAATCATGAATTGATGTTCTTTGAAGAGTTAATCACTGTTTAAAGTTTACACAAAGTGATACTTATGTGAAGATAATAACAGAAAACACGAAGAACAATTGATTTTCGAATGATTCAGTTGTTTTGCGCGAATTACAAGTGAAAAGAATTTAACATTTACTTCACATCAAAATATATATAAATCATCTTGTTTTGAACGGTATACTTACTATTAGTCTAAAATGAACAGTGAAATACGTTTCACTATCTATTCGTCCTTAACACATCAGCGATTGACTAACCTGGTAATTCCCAAGTGGTCATTCCACGAGATGAGAATCGAGCCACTTTTGAGTCAATATTAATACCTCCAACACCAATCACGTCCATTTGATCCGCTGGATTGTTCAGCGTGCTAAAATGAATATTTATTCAACAAAATTCATTCAAAAGTTTTTACTCCTAAGAATTATCCGGGCTATCATTATTACATACTTCAAATCAGTGACCATCCCTCCAATGAAACAATGGTTAACCAATCATTAATTTCGGAAGCCATTCAAATAAGCTAACCCAAATTTAGGTCCATCGTTCCCGATTGCAGAGATCAGAATGACCCCGTTCGCTGTCAATTCCCACACTTTGTCCATAAATGGCAAATCCGTGAAGTCTGGTCCACCGATACTAAAATCAAAATTCAAATGAAAGGAGCGATTCGTTTTACTCACAGTCAGTTAGCAATATTTAATTCAACGAAAGGAACCCATCTACTCCAAACTGAACGAAAGCAATGTTTAAAAGACAATATAAATATCGGAAAACGACGAATGTGAAAAGGAAGATTAAGAAAAGCGAGAGGTATGGAACGGAGCAGAGGACCTCTCCAGAAATGAATTGAATATTTACAAAATGTAAAAGAAACCTTAAATTAAGAACATTAATATCACGTAATATTGCATGATTGAATGCATCTAAAAACCACGACGTAAATGATACCTGAAATTTAATTTCACTTTTTATGAATAAGTCAAAGCTAAATCAGAGAATAGCAAATAACGAATCAGGCAAATGATAAAGCGATAGTGAACGTAATCGTTAATTTGAGTCCTCAAAAAAAAAAAAAAACTCGATATGGATAAAGAAATGGCAAGAGACGAAATGAATAAGAATGACCTGCTTTTTAGTGAACACTTTATATACATATATACTGGCAGCGGGTGCAAATCCTGCACAGTTTTTATTTGAGCTCGCTATTATGCCCGTTACGAAGGTGCCGTGACCTAACCCTGAACACTGCTATAGTTGATATCGAAAAAAAGAGTATTACTGTGCAAGCAAACGAAAGAATTGAAAAATATTGAGGAGACAATATGCAAGTAAATTTAGAGGGTTGTACTTGCAAGCCAATTTACTACTGACTGTTTGCACGACCTAAAATTGACGATATTGACTTAAACCAGAGTCTCCAACTACAATACCGCAACAGAACAATGATGAATCGATCAAAAACTGATGAAAAATAGAAAGTTTCATTCAAGATGAGACAAGTCGAAACAAAGTAATAAGAAAATGAACCATCATCAGCAGTTTGTTCATTGGTCCAATCGGTTCGTTCAACAATATTTCTAAAATGTGGATGATGCTCAAATAGACCCGTATCGAACACTGCCACTTTAACACCTTGACCTTGAATTATTCCTTTTGAAACGTAGGCCAGCAATAATGCATTCACAACTGCTCAAAGACTGACAACAGAAATTTCTTGANAATTATTCTAAATTGAACATTAACACTGCTTTTCATATTCAACTCATCATTACACTGTCTCAATCGATACATTAGAATATCGTCATTAGTCTAGAGTGGCATCCATCCAGTCATTGCTGATGACCTGAATGGATAAGACTAGGTATATGGACAAGAGGAGGTTTATGTGCGCTTATCAAAGTGCGCAAAATATATTCAAAATGATAATTGTGGGTTTGGAAGAATTCTGTGAGATGAATGGATGAATAGAAACCTTTAAAACCCATATCCCATAGTTTATTGGCGTTCAACAACTCAGTTACTTGATGGATCTCTGAACTGGCTGTACCACCACGACGCAGGTGTGTGCGTCTTGAAACTCCGATCGATTGGAACATAGTATTCAGCGATACAAACCGTATGTGCGCCGATCGTTGTAATGATTCCAGCACTCCATTGGCATCACTTGCTGATATCTGAACACTGTGAAATGCACAAATTAACGAGAATGCTATGAAGAGATAAAACCTTTGGATGTTTGATTCAACCATTTGAAAAATACCACAAATAAGTGCTTTGAAAATTACAGGAACATGGAAAGAAAACTGGATAAATAGGAGCATTTTCAAACACTATAGACACTGGAATCTGAGTATTCTCAGTTGCTTAGCAGATAAATTTTCCAAGTCATTTGTGCGTCCTTGACAAATGATCTAGAATATTTGAGGATGGTTACTGTTGCAAACAATCGCACTGTAGAGGATACGTTCTTCACAGAACATGAATCAATCCGACTAACCTCAATAACATCAAAATCGCTCAGCTGATTCGGTCTTTGCTCGATATTAATCGTTCGATTGAAACCGACCGCATCATTAATAAAATATGATCGTTTCGATCGAACATAATAACCATCAAACGATACAATGAACGCTGAAGAGATAAACTTTAAACTGTTTGCTTTAAAGCGCTACACGAAATAAAGTAAAGTAAGAATCACAAGGGACATCTGCGCAATTGCTAATGAAATATAATACATCTTTATACCAACATATCTCTGCAGTATTGCAAAATACCTTCAGAATTTTGGTTACTTTATTAATACAACTTCATTCATTTACTGCAGCGAAAGACTTACATTTCGAATCGTTCTCATGAAGTGATTTTGTTTCGTTGATTTGCAGAATGAACGCAATAATTGTAAACAAATATACAGAACGCCCAAACATCAATTTCAAACAATTTATAAATTTGTTGCATTCGATCTATTTTCTCATATTTCAAATACCCATTAATCACATAATCAGATTGAATTCCATCGAAATTCCCTTGAAACCATCACAGTTGCACTTTAAATTGAAGAAAGAACTGAATCAGGAAAACTATACGATCCGGTGCTGAGTCGAGTTTATGCAGAGTTAGATCAATGCCAGATGGAGACCACGTGGTGAAAAGATGTTGCAAACGATCACACAGTAAAGGATATCCGTGTTCATAATGTAACATGAATCGACCTAACTAACCTCAATAACATCAAAATCCCTCAGCTGCTTTTGGCTTTGTAAGGTTACTTTCGGTTGAACAAGTCGAAAGACCGTTCCCTCTCGTTTTGATTGTTTTACTCTCATACTTAACATGTGGTCCTAGGAGGGTGTTTTATCACAACATGTCTTTTCATTTTCCCAAATGAAAGACCCAAATTTCGATCACACCACCTAACTTCTTGTTTAAAGAAAAGGTAACAAATGCTGAGAAGAACAGATGAACTGAATAAGCACAGTAATACTCACATCTTTATTTCGAAACATCACATCAACTCAACAATATTCTATTTGTGCTTCGAACATATTCAAACGCGTTAGCTACTTGAAGGAATGGATTAATGCCTTTCAATTCACTCGCTGAATTGATAAAATGTTCAATCACTGAACACAGTCATTACCAATCCGGTTTTATCAACATTACAGTACTCTAGCGTGTTCCTCTAGCATATCTCATGTTGATCCATAAACATAATCGAAAACTGAACACCGCTCATGATGAACTCAAAACACTTCGGGTTTATTTGCAAAAAAGTGCGATTATTAACTAAAACTTTCACAAGAATTGATGTACACATTCTTCAATCTGATTGTATCAATGATAAAATGGACAAATATTCCTACAGTACAAAAAGTCTGAACATAAGCTTGGTCAAAACTGATTATATCAATGATGAATCCACAAAATACTGATACCATATATACCCACACACACATTCTTGCTTCTGAAGATAAGCTAACAATAAACAGACACAGAAATAAACTATTGAATACTGCTTATTATTACTAGAAGAATACAAAAGAAATGCAAAAATATGGAGAAAGAAACTGAAAGAATCATCAACAAGAGAATACAAATAATCAAGAATTGCTAATAATTGTTTTGAACAATCCAAATTGGAAAATGGATTCATTCCATGTGCACCTATCATATGAATGATAACTAGCAATAACAGCGAAATGAACAATTATTCGAATCAATTTCTCACTGCTTAAACTAAAGAAATTACTGAAAACTTCAATTGATGTCAAAGTCNAAAATATTACTTCAGTAAGGTAACAATCCCAATAGAAGTCACCTGAATGTAAGCTTTTAAAATCTTGTAGATTTCGAGCAGACAAAAAGTTCGAAACCGATATTTTCGTATGTGTAATTGATCAGGAATGAATGAATACTTTGTTAAGATGAACAATTTCAAAAGAACGATCTTCTTCAATCAGTTTCATCATTCGGTCATTTCAGATGATGTAATCAAGAGAGAACGAGCAAAGACACGAATACCACCAGAAACGTACACGATGCAATCTGAATATCAATTACCAAACAGCATTTCAATATTATTCCAATTCACTACGATGAATACATCTATATTGAGAGTTTTTTCTGATACAAAAATATTCACTATAAATATATCACTCTCAATAAATACGACCAGAAACTTTTGTACACCGCTATTACACAGAAAGAACAAACAATCAGATAACATCATTTGAACGTTCATGTAAAATTTATCAAACGTTTCATAATCATAGTGATATTTTAGCTTGTTCTATATCATTCTTACTGAGTGCAAGAGACAAACAAATCGTAACACATTCCATTTTCTTCGAAGACAGAAATGCAGCTGAATAAATATTTACAGATACAAAACTACCAAACGAAGATATAAAACAATTGATATTCTAAGGAACTAGTACAATATTATATGTGGGTTTCACGCCGATGAATAGAGACCAAAGCAGATGCTTTACAGTTAGAGTGTGATTAATATTAGAGCAGCAATCAGTAAAACACAATTGCGGATTGAACTCTTTTAAGAGGTCTCAAGAAATCGCTTCAGAAGCAAAATTTCCGATAAAATTATGAGAAATAATGAGAATTGCAACATTGAGTGCATTAACAAATCATCGTGAAAGAATCAAACCTGAAATAAACGACAGACAAAACTTCATAAACACTAACGTGGCTTTATGCTCACTACACTAAATTTACACTAAAATCACTACTGAGATGATACGGTCTAAATGTTGAAGATATATAAACGATACGATTTTCTTTATGATAAAAAAGGAGAGTCTGTTCCTCACAACGAACCTTTTTTTCTTGAAAAAATCAATCAAAAATAGATGAGTGATATTAGCGGAAACGTGTGATAAAAATGAGCCGCTCAAAGTCACTGGACGTTTTCTAACGTAAAAAATGCAATGTGCAAAATAAATCACGCTTCTGTTGTTCAGTTGCTCCTCCACACTATACTTATCATGAGTTTTATTTCCTATTCGTTAAGAAGTAGTAGCTGTGGAACGGCGGTGTATCGTTTTCTGTGACTCTCAATAAAAGAAGTTAGAAGAAAGTTACGATCATTATTAGAAGTAGTGTAAGAATGGTAGTTGTAGCTCTTGAAGTGGTGAGTCGTTACGGCTGAATGATACCGTAAAAATTTTAGACGAATACACTACAGGAAGATGTCAAGGTAGACGAAGAATAAATTAGAATTGAATAGAATCATAAGAAATTAGAATGAAGTTCATTATTGTGTGCTGTTAAGTTTTTCATTGAGTAATTCAGCCATAGCAGCGTGCACAACATCAGGACACGAAATGAAACAACGTCTCGACTGATCAGTTATCAACTGGCGAACCGATTGACGTAATTTCTCATTTAAACCGACGAACAGTGCCATCACTCCCTAAATTTCACATTTTAACTTTGAAAACAAACAATGATGGGGTAAAAGAATGGCTTGAAAGAGAACGAAACGAAACGGAAGTGAAAGTAATAAGACCAGATGCACACCTCAACAAATCGATCAATCTTATTCTCGAATTATTTCGATCTTCCGAAAGGATCATTTGGTAGACAATTTGGGATTCGAAATTTAAAAAGTGATCTGCTCGTAACGTGTGGAAGTCGCGAAACTGATGGAATGATTCAGTAAAGAAAAAGAAGATAAAAAAGAACAATAATAACCTCAGGATTTCGCGTTGCAGCCTGTCGAACCATCGGCAAATCAGAAAATGTATCCCCACAAACCAGTACTCTACCGGGTGTTTCAAGCGAATCTCCAACCGTCGACACTACTCTGTCAACACCATCTGCTTTGTTCCATACGTTACCAGAATTATGTGCCACTACTTCGACTTCCAATTCCGTTGACGGATCGAACACTAATATCTGAAAATAATATTTATGCTTATTTCCATTTTGAAGTGGTTCATAAATATCAACGAGATATTCTTCAATGGAAAAAAAAAACGAAAGACAGCTTTTTAACAGGTTTAGGATTGAAGAATTGCTTACATTCAAAGAACAAGTATTCAGGATAACGTCTGAATAATTTACTCATATTGGAGAACCTAGTTGCTGGATTGATCCGGTAAGAAATACCCTTTGAACTAACATGATTTTGTGGATCAACCCTATGCATTCGTTCCCTAACAGCATCCTGATATCGATGTGAAAGTTCAGGCAGGACGTGTCCATAAACGGTCTGAACACCTAATGTCAATCGATCCACTTTGCGTTGTACACCACTACCAACTAATGCGAACTGAGAATAATCACCTGAGTGTAATAAATTGCCCATCTAAAAACAACTTTCATTGGAAACAACCTTCAGTTGATTAGGAATTATGAAACAGAAATTCATTGCATTCGACATTTCAAAACAAATTCTGCTTGGTTTCTTAAATGAGAGACACTAATTCCATTTCGAAATGAAAACACAAGCAAAGCACACACTTCATCGTTGAGTCTCTCAAGTGCGTCGAATCCTTCATCGGAAATGCCATCCTCATGAACAACTCGTCTACCACCAAGCCACCATTCCCTACCCCACGATCCACTAAATAAAACTGGTCCATCAATTGGCATCGCCGTAAGATCGAGTATACCAGGTCCGCGCAATGGACCAGCCGTTAAGACGGCACTTAAGCGAGTGAAACGAGATGCAAAACGAGTCATACCCACTGCACTATAGATAGGCTGAAAATTGCATAAGGTATCAGCCAAACTGACAGATCTGAAGGGGTGTCCAGGTATAGATATAATAACATGTAATATTTAGATGATATTAATATAAAAGCGTTAACTGATGAAAGACCTGCAAATTAGTTGCATATTGTGAACAGTAATCCTTCATTGTACCATCCCAATCGGTTATAAATATTGGCTTACGACCATTGCTATTCGATTCAGCAAACGATCGTAAAAAACTGAATTTCATTTGTTTCAACAGATAACGTCAACAATAACGCCAAATAAGATAAGTAGTAAGGATATGAACAATATTTGCAATACAGTTGTATCTAGAAGATGAAAATGAAATCAGCAAAAAGAGGAAAAACAACCTACTTTAGACACTCTTCATACTCTTCGAAGAATTTCTTTTCACTAATCGGATGATACGCTGCAAGAATTGATGCTAAATCAACTTTTGCTAACAGCGGTGGCCACCGAACGTCCTCATTCTCTGACTTTGTGGCTTTCAAACGCTCCAAAAACAACATATCTTTCTGAAATGATTATGATCTTGAAGTGTGTGCGGAAGAGCCGAACAAACGTTCAGAAAATGAAGAAAATATGAAGGCTTACCAGTAAACCCATCGCCTCATCTTTAATATTAATGCTGAGTTTAGAAGATAGTGTGCTCATTTCACGTTGGAATGCTTTCGTATTAGAATCAGTTATTTTTGCATACGTTCGCCTTAATTCTTCAATCCAGTCATTCTCTATTTCTTTATCACCTAATATTGCCATCACTATTTTACGTCGTGCCGACTGCATCTAAAAGCATCATTTCAAATGAGGTAATAACAAAGACTCTATTCAATCTGAATCTGAATGATGACAGTGGATTACTAATTGAATTACAATACGTTGAAGAGAAATCTTAAATTTGATTAGATTAAGTAATTTGATTAATTCCTCACTGATACCTGATAAATTTATGAAAAAAAAATCGAAAAACACTTCAACTTTCTCTTCCTTACGAATCATTGTGTGTACGCAATTCATTTACAAGAGCATTAGTTCAATTGATTGATCGAATGGAACGAAAAAATAAAAACATAATTACAGTTTATACCGAATACATAAGCGATTTGAACTCATCGACGGACTGAAGATGGTCCAAATGATCTGATGCTATATCAACCGATGGTATTCGATTCTCGATCTCCTTTGCGACATGTTCTGTAATTCTCGATAATAATAATGTCAAAAACTTTGAGCACTATTCATCAATAACCACCCCTCAACCATTTCAGATGAAACACGAGAAGCTGATACTAAAAAANAAAAAAGGAATATTTATCAGTCGATGCAAAAAGATTCAACATGAATCAGAAATAATGAAATGGACTGCGATAACAGGCATTAATGATTATTAAAAAAAACAATGATATAAACTGAACTGAAAGTGAAAGTTGATAACAATTCTAAAAAATTATCAAGTAATCTGAGACACCTGTCGGATGAATTTGTTCATCGTTATCTGCAGCGCACTGACTATCTTCTTTGGCTGTTGTCACGTTGCTCGAGTCGGTGGCCATGACAGTCATAACCGAGTATTTCGATAAGTGAACGTTACACAACGCCACTTTAAATCCTGTTTTTATTCACAGTATTAACGTCATTCATTATGAGATGAATTGTTACAAAATAACTATCGTTTATACATAGTATATTACAAGAGTGAAATAAACATCAAAATACGATGATCAATGACAATTTTGAAGTGCATAATTATCACACATAAACAATAACCGTCGATGATTTAATCAAAACAAACGAAAATGTTTTATCGATTGCTTTTTCAAAGCAAAAGCATTTGGAAAACCCAGTAGAAAGGCAGAGGTTTTGAAGACATTGACTTTTCTGCACGTAAATCACTTGAAAATATTTTCAAAATATTCTGATGTTGTTTGAAATGACTGATTAAAATTCACCGAGGGACTGGATTCTACGATAAAATTAGTGCTGAACGGTGCCCAATCGCGAAAAACTTCACCGAAAGTCAACAAAATATTGATCTCAATACAATTTTCACAGGAATATTTCACGAATCAATTCATCAGACATATATACATGTGAGTCTAGTAAACATATTTCGAACCCTCGGAAACTATCCAAACTATAGACCGGTATTCCTAACTCAATTTCTCGGTATAACTCTGCTCACGATTGCTAATTAGACCAGTAATGCGACGAGCTTCATTGAATGATCCAGGTGAGGCCACACCGAAAATTTGTGAGTAGGTATATGAAGAGAAAATGAGATTGATATTTCGAAAATAATTTAAAAAGTGAAATACGTGAACGAAAAGTGTGACTAAGAGAAGACTACACTCATAATTTATCATCTAATCCATTTATGGCTTCAGAACGGATGTCGAAGACGAATTGGAACGAATAAGCACAAATAAATGAAGTATAACGAATAACAACGAACACACCTCTTCACCAAACTACAACTTTGATTATTACCAAATACAATGAGTATGAATGAAATTTTTTGAAATTCTAATATGCAATAAATTTTATGTGAAATTTTTCTCGAGTTGTTTGCAAAAAGCTTTTTACTCCTTGCAAACTGGATCATATGCAAAGAAGAATCAATACAATAACAATCTTCACTCATTGCCACAACAGAGACTAATCAATACAAATGAACAGAGTCAAATCAATACATGACTAAATCATTTGGCACTGCAGGAGAAATGAATTTTTATAACTGTAAAAGGGCGATTGTTAAACGAAGAAAAAGCCGTCGGAACAACAGTAATAGACAATATCGAAATCCATGACGATTCACGCTGATGATTTAAACATACCTTCATCAAAATATCCGCTGCAATATCCAAGAACAACAATACTCTCGATTCGTTTTTTTAATCGTTTTTTGATTCATACGTACTCTCCGATCGCGTTTCATGACCTCTTCGAATATACGTTTACCGTTCTAATATTATAGTAATAGTGTTCGAGCGTAACATTTGTTTATTTGTTGTACTGACGATAGCACATGATAAGGTTTATTGATAACAAATGATAACACATTCAAATGATCAATTGTAACAAAAGTATTGAGAGATAAGTAAAAAAATAAATAAAATAAAGTAAATACCTTTTGAAATGGAAATTAGTCAATGTCGACTAGATTAGTCAATGTCGATCGGAAATTAGTCGACTGGAAATATGGACAGCGACTAGAAAATTGCTGCAAATGTGAAGAACAATAGAATATGAATAAGCAGGAAGAAGAGATCGTTCGTTGATTACTGAACTATAAGATTGCTATCAATCAATCAATCTAGCGGTGATGATAACAGTAAGAAACGAAGAAACGAGGTGAAATATTACGGCGATTTGTTGCTGGGATGGTTGGAGACGCAGACAGTAAGGGTGGATGAACGGGGTGGTGGATGGAGTTTGTCGGTTTTTGATGTGATGATGATGATGCAAGAATTTAGTGATGTAGAGTAGTAACGTATATATGTTTTTATAATATATATGCAGTTATTGAACAACGGGCCAAAGATTATTAGCTGTTGTTATTTTTCTGGTTATCACTCGTCGAACGTTGAATCGATGATCGTTTTTAGTGTTTTTGTCTAGCACAAGTGAATGATGAACAAACACTCAGGAGAGTTTGTTGATGAAGATGAGTATTTCTCTGAGGATGGGTGGATGGATCACCTGAAAGAAACATTCATTTGAATTTGATATTCATCGTTTCATAGCTGTGCGAGAACTGAGTTAAAGTAACAGTGAATATTTCGCTGTTGATAAGGAGTGAAGCAGTTTGGAGATGTTCAGTTGTGAAAATAAAACAGATCAATGACAGCTATTATGCATACTTTTACGAGCATATTCGATTGTTCACTAAACAACCGTCAAATATCTATTCAATAACTGAACTGTTTTTCAAATGGTTGGAAAAAATTAAACTGACAAATTGACATTTCATAACAAACGAATTGTCTGTATCAAGTAAATATTGATGTAAAAATGTCTTTTCGTCTAAAGGAAGGTACATACAATTTCGTGTCAGCAATATTTCAGTAACACAGAAGTAAGAAATCGTTACTGAGAAATGTATGAATTGCAATTTTTTCCTCGAACGCTGTTATTTCTAGCGGATGAATAATTTTTCATTATAATACTGTAATAACATAAGGAGCATCTGTACTTGATAATTGATCTTTCATTATTACAATTATTACGTACCCTCATTTATGTTCACAAAAATTCTCCAGATAGGTGAACGATTATATCATCACCTCTCTCATCATATTTAAATGCAACATTGGACAATGATTCATTCAAAAACTTCGACAAATACAATAGAATAAACTTGAGTGCTTGCTTGTACACAATGCGAATGGAATCATTGCAATACAAAGCATCATAATAATAATCACGTTTAATCTCATGATAAAATATGAGCGAAGATGTGCACAATTGACGGCCACATGACGAATAAATCGTTGTTGCAATGAGTCGTCATGTTGCCGATTGTGACGCACTCAATGTTGCACTTTCGCTATCAATCACTCGAGTACACAAAAGCAGTCGTGTGAAAGGATTAACGAAATCGAAAAAGTTAATGCCGTTATTGTTGGGTGTATCTTTAGCAGTTCAGCCGTGTTGGAAATGAATGAATACTTTCGTATAAAGTCAATAATCAGCAAGTGAAAATCATCCTTGTTCAAATATATATTTACGAATATTTATGTGGGTAAACTTCAAAAAATAAAAATCGCACATTGGAGGGCAAATGAATTTGGACATTATGAATGACGCATTCATTTTATTGTCTAGCGATTGCTGTATGACTTAAGGAAAAATATAATTGGTGAAGATTGTTGACAGTCATTAAATGAAAATAATCAAACATGACGGCAAGATGCTTGAAAAACTGTACATTTCATCGACCCATACACTGACAACAATTCAATTTTATTTAATATTCTTAG